ACAAACTCCCTATGAGAGGGCGGGCCAGGCCCGGTGCTGGGGGCCGAGTCCCAGGCTGGGAAGTGACCCAGCCTCTGCTCTAGGCAAGCCTGGTGTGGATTATCCTCTCTGCTCTGGACACCAGCCAGTGCATGGCAGCTGGAATTGGGGGGGGGCACGGCACAGCAGGGTGCCCAGGGGCACAGGGGGGCGCCCTGGAGCGTAGGCACCACCTGTCTCTGACTGAGGAAACTGCAGGAGGGAGCCCAGGTGCCTGGAGGAGCCAGCGGCTCCCTGCACCCCGCCGGCCTGGCTGTGGGACCCAGGCTGCCGGAGCAACTGCCACCCTCCGAGGGTCTCAGTCGCATGCGAACCCAGCTCCCGTGGGGCCTGGGGATGAGAAGCGGTTCCTGAGAACTTGTTAGTCACTGCTTGCCAGGCGGGGTGTTGCTTCCCACGGTGGCGCGCTCCTCAATCACAGCACTGAGGTGGGGTCTAGAATCCCCTCAGGCTACAGGTGGGGAAACCCAGGCTCAGCTGGGTGGCACTCACAGCCCTCACTTGCTGAGCTTGGCATCCACACCACATGCTGCTCCAGGACCTTAGTGCATCTCGGATCACTGGACGCCCCCCGCACCCCCTGATGGTGCATGCCTATAATCCCAGCACTCTGGAGGCCGAAGCAGGGGGATTACCATAAATTCAAGGGCAGCCTGAGCTTCATTGTCAGTTCAAGGCCAGCCTAAACTACAAACGAAGACCCTGACTCAAAATCAAAAACAAAACAAAACACAAAAAGCATAGGTCTCATCCCGGAACCCACGTGTATCTGATAATAGCCCTCTAGGAAGTAGAGGTGAGATTTGAACCCAGGACCCATGGCCTCCAGGCCCAGTTTTCCCTCCGCCTTCCGAGTGTGTGGGAGGGGGTGGTGAGGGCACAGCAGCCCCAGCCAGGGCGTGGGATGCTCCCATCAGGCAGGCAAACCGCAGCTGGGTGTGGGCCAGCTCCCACGGGCGGGCTGGGCAGTGTGGTCCAGAGCAGAGGAAGTGGCTTTGGCCTGCGCTGAGCGTTGGTGGTGGAGCTCCCCTGGGGCTGGGGGCTGGGATCAGCAGCGCCTCCCTGGCCAAATGCTTCCCCGGGAGCACCGTTTCCTGCCTCCCCCCGCATCCAAGTTCTTACACTCAGATATTTTTTTTGCAGCAGAGTCTTGATATCTCCTCTAACAAAAAATTCTTAAACATGCTATTCAGCTAAATCTCCAGGTCTGTCTTTATTGTTGTTCAGTTTTGAAGATAGGATCCTACTAAGTCACTATGTTGCCCAAACGGCTCAAACTTGACGTCCTCCTGCCTCAGCCTCCAGAGTGCTAGGATTACAGGCACGCGGCGTCAGGCTCAGCGCAATGTCCTGTGAAAGACAGCTGGGGATGCAGCCTGCTATCGGAACAGTTCAGGGCTTGGGCCCGCCTGAGCGGCCGGCATCATGTCCCCAGCCAGGTCTCTCAGTGTTGAGCTTCAGGTCCCACAAGAGCATGCCCCCCTTGGCACAGAGTGGAGGCCAGGACCCAGGGAGGCACGAACCAGTGGGCTGGGCAGGAGGGAGGAGGACTCTGCCTATCTGGCAGGCCCCAGAGCCACAGCAGAGGGGCAGGTGGCCAAGCTTTTCCTGGAGGCCTGGGATCCCTGAGCTAGTCTGGCCTGAGCCTCCTGTCCTTTATTTCTTGGTGCTGAGGAGAAGCCGAGCTGGTGGCACTCACATGGGACATTCTGGGACTGGGGTGACAGCCTGTCACCAGTGCATGCAGTTGCCAGGAGTTGGTGTGACCCAGCCTGGGGATCTTTGAAGCCCACATGGCCGGGAGGACAGGGATGGGGCCTGGACTCCCCAGAGCGCAGCCTGAAGCCCCCCTGCCATGCCCGACCCCTGCCCTTCACACCACAGTGCCACTTCCCTCCATGTGGGCCAGAATACAGGGCTGGACCCTCCAGTCCTTTTGGGTCCCCGCTTGCTCTTGCCTCACAGTCCCTCTCAGGCCCGGCCCTCTGTGCTGATTTCTTTTTTGTTTCTTTGTTTTGAGATAGGTCTGGCCATGTAGTCCAGGCTGGCCATGAACTCTTAGAGAGCCTCCTGCCTCAGCGTTTTGAGTGTTGGGATTCCAGGCATACACCACCGTATCCGGTTTAAATTTGTTTGGGGGAGGAGGGAGAGTAGAGGAGTGGTTCTGGGGGTCAAACCAGGGCCTGATACGGCAAGGCCAGTGCTCCGCCTGAGCTGCGTCCTGGAATCCCTGGCTCTCTGGAATAAAGTGACCCCGGGGAGAGCAGCCAGAGGGGGTGGTGGCCAAGGAGGAAGGGGGACAGCAAGGGAGGGAGAAATTCCCAGAGCCTCAAGGGTTCTTTCCCGTCCCCCAAAGGTAGAAAGGACGTTTTTCTTCCTTTAAAAGAAAAGTTTGGGGCCGGGGAGGTGGCTCAGTGGAATAAGTGCTTCCCTGGCAAGAGCCAGGGCCTGAGTTCAATCCCTGGTTCTGCCAAAAAAAAGAAAGAAAAAGAAAAAGAAAAAGAAAAGTTTGTTACACTGGGAGTGGTGGTACACATCTGTGATCCTAGCGCTCAGCATGCTGAGGAAGGAGGATTGCCGAGTTCAGGGCCATCCCTGGCTACATGGTGAGTTCAAGGTCACAACCTGAACTATAGAGTGAGACCCTGTCTCAAAAAATAGTAAATAATGGGGGCTGGGGAGATGGCTGAGTAGAATAAACATTTGCCTGGCAAGTGTAGGGGTCTGAGTTCAATCCCCAGTTCCACAAAAAAAAAAAAAAAAAAAGTAAGTAAGTAATGCAAGGAGGCTGAGGCAGGAGGCTCACAGAGTTCATGGCCAGCCTGAACTACCAAGTAAGACCCCATCTAAAAAAAATAAATAAAAATGTGTGGCCTACCCAGCGACCATGGCCTGGAGCCCTTGAGCCCCCAGTGGCTGACTCAGGACACCACATGGTCAGCAGGGATGGCTCCAGTGTTCACAGTCACCTGCCGAGGGCTCTCCCGGGGCTCTGCGCTGAGGAACCCCAAGCCAGTGAGCACCTGGTAATGACCAGAGCCAGGAGAGCAAGGCAGGGGTCCTGCTGGTGACGTTTCAGTAGGGAGTGGAGAGCGGAGAGGGAGGCAGCAGGTCCCAAGGTGCTGGGCAGAGGCTGAAGGGAGGCCCTGCACTTGGGGCCCTGGGCAGCAGTGTGGGACACCAGGAGCAATAGCCCAGGGCCGGTGACAGGTCAGGTTACCCCCAGCTGTGAGAGGAGAATGCAGGGTGCAAGGGATACAACCCCAGCATCCCCTGGGGTGGGGTGTGGCCCTGGTGGCCCGCTGTGCAGAGCAGGACCCTGGTCATTCCTGAGGGCTCAGAGACAGAGCTCAGCTACCAGCTGAGGCTGAGGCTTGGCAGCTGGGGGTGCTGCGTGTGTCCGGGTGTCCCTGCATCTGAGTGTGCATGCACAATGGGGGCATGAATCCATCACTCACCCTTGATGAGAGAGACAGCTCCACCGTGGTCCCTCAGACACTGTGCGAAACAGGGCGCTGAGTCATATGGGAGAAAGCTGCTGCCTATGAATCCTGTCACTTTTCTTGTCCCTGAGACACAATTCTGACACCCACAACTTTCAAAAAGAAATGTTTATTCTGGCTTACAGTATATAGAGGTTTGAGGCCATGCTCAGCTGCCTCAAGGCAGGGTGGCACAGCAGATGGGCCCGGCTGTGGCGAGAAGCTCACAGCACAGCAGGCAGGAAGTGGCACAAAAGGGGTGGAGCCAGGGGATTAAACCACCCAGCCCCTCCCCTTTCCACCAGGCCCCTCCCCTTCCACCAGGCCCCTCCCCTTTCCACCAGGCCCCTCCCCTTTCCACCAGGCCCCTCCCCTTTCCACCAGGCCCCACCTCCTAACAAGTCAGCTCCAAGTCCCATAACCCAGTCACCTTCCAAAAGCCCCACCTATGAGTGCTAGAGGCTCTTGAGGAGCAGGTGGATCTAACCCATAACAGATCCAACCCTCTGGTTGCATCAGGGACAATGCCACTTGCTCTCTGTCCTTCTACACTGGTCAGTCTTCCTTTTGCACAAAGGGAGGTGACAAGGCAAGGGCTCCGCAGACCTGGCACAGACCAGATTCCAACCATGCTCCTAAATATCAAGGCAGCGCCCCAGGCTGTGGTCACTGTGTATTTCGGACCATTGATACTAGTTTTTTTCTTTTTTACTAATGTAATAAAAGTTTCCATCTTAAAATTTTCGCTTTGTTTGGCTAACAGCTTATCAATCTTGAAACACTTCTGAAGCTGGGTGTGGTTCCACATGCCTGTCATCCTAACACTTGGGAGGGAGGCTGAGGCAGGAGAATCACTGAAATGCAAGGCCAGCTTGGCCTACAGCCTCCACCCCCAAATTTTATTCTGGTAAAAGCAACAGGTGGTCTTTTTTTTTCTTTTTGGCAGAACCAGAGATCGAACTCAGGCACTTGGGCTTGCCAGGGAAGCACTTATTCCACTGAGCCAGCTCCCCAGCCCCCTCTTTTAAAAATTTATTTATTTATTTATTTATTTATTTATTTATTTATTTATTTTGCGGAACCGGGGATTGAACTCAGATCCTTGCGTTTACCAGTCAAGCGCTTATCCTACTGAGCCATCTCCCTGGCCCCTCTTTTTTTTTTTTTAAGGGAATTTTTTTTTTTTTTTTTTAATCTTTTTGAGACAGGGTCTCGCTATGCAGTTCAGGCTGGCTCTGAGCTCACTTTGTAGTCAAGGAACTCCCAATGATCCTCCTGGGATTACAGGCGCGCACCACCATTCCTGGTGACAGATGGTCTTCAGAGCAACAGCGAGTCCCTCACAGATGGGAAAGGGAGTAAGTACCTAAGTGACGAGGTTTGCTGAACACAGGTTTAACTGACATCTGAGCCCCCTCCAACTCATGCTCACTATCCCTGGAAAGCCGATCTGTCATTAATGCCTTTTCTCTTTGTTTGTAGAGTCTTTCTTTCTAGTTTAGGCTGGCCTTGAACTTGCACAGATCCTCCTGCCTCAGCCTCCCAGAGTGGTGAGTTGACAAGCTTGTGACATCACGCTGGGCTCTTCCTTCCATTCTCACCTGTCCCCAGCCCTGCAACGCTGATCCAAGGAGTGTGGGCAGAAGTTCTTTCTGCACTGAAATAAGAAGCTGGGGACAGGGATGGGCTTTGTCCGAGTGCTGCTGGGACACTCCCTGTCCTCTGTCTCTGGCGGAGGGCTCATTCTTAGCCTGGTGGCCTCAAATCTGGTGTAGCTTCTCACTCAGGTTAGTTCCAGCGACAGCAGAGCGGCAAGGCCAGTTCACCTAACAGACTTTGGGGTGCGTGTGTAGTATTGGAGATGGAGCCTGGGGCTCCTCTCTCCCTGAACATGTCTCCTTTTTAATTTTGAGGAGGTTCTCACTAAATTGTCTGGGCCAGCCTCAAGCTTCTGGTCCTCCTGCTTCAGCTTCAGAGCAGCTGGGTTTACAGATCTGCAAAACCATGTCTGGCCAAACTATTTCTTTAAAAGTTATTAAATGTTGGGCGTGTGAACTATGGAAATCAATATGGAGATTCCTCAAAAAGCTAAAAGTAGACCTTCCGTTTGACCCAGATGTTTCTGTTCTGGGCATCTTCTCAGATGTCATATAGTGATCCATGTGTAGCCTTGTGTACAACAGCTCAGTGTAGAGGAGCTAAATCTCAGAAAGTCTATAGGTCCACTGACAGATGAATGGATAAAGAAAATGTATTTATTCACAGTGGAGTACTACTCTGCCATAAAGAAGAATAAGCTTAAGTCATCTGTAGGGATGTACTTTGAGACCATCATGTATGTTAGTGAAATAAATCAGGGACATAAGCTTGAATACCACATGCTTTCTCTCATATGAGAAAAAAAGATACACAAAGAGTGAAATAAAAAGACAGACAATAGGACACAGGGGGCCAGCCCCAGAGCCTGCCACATGCCAAACACTCCGCACATGCACTGTTTTCCTAGCCCCAGGCCACAATATTTTTATTTTTCGAGACAAGGTACTACTATGCTGGCTTTGAACTCACTCACTCTGTAGCCCAGGCTGGCCGGGAACGCTCAGCCAACCTCCTGCCTCAGCCTCTGAAGCGCTGCAATTCCAAGTGTGTGCCACTATGCCCGGCTCTGGACCTCAGCACGTAGAAAAGAATTTAAAATCCAGCTTTTGGATCATGAATTTTATTTCGATATATGCCACCTCGTTGCCAGAAAGGCATTTATAAAAATAGATACAATGGACTAAAATAGGTCAGGGTACAGGCACCAGTGGCCGGCGGAGGCAGGAGACCACACAGCTATTACAAATGAGTTTAAATTTGACTTCCAGCCGGAGTCACCACCAAGAAGCCAAACCTAGAAGACATTACTAGTTATGAGATTCCTAACAAGACTTAGTTTGGGATTTTGAAAGCAGACCTAATTCTAATCTTTTCTGGAGGGGGTTGGAGACAGATTCTCACTAGGCAGCTCAGGCTGGCCTCCAGCGCTATAGAGCCCAGGTTGGCCTTAAAGGCTGGTGATCCTCCTGCCTCAGCCTCCCGAGTGCTGGGATCACAAGAGTGTGCCACCACACCCGGTTTTGTTCAGATCTCCACTCTCCTTCCTAGAGACCCACCCTAGCAGGTCTCTGGGCCATGGAACGCGAAGACACCCCTGCCTCATGCTCCTCGGTGTTAGTGACAGCGCGTGCCCAGCCTCTCCCCGGCTCATCAAGGCGTGGCTTGGGTCTTCTGTGGCTTTTTGTGCCCCTAAGCTGTGGGGCCCTGCCAGGGTATGTGGCAGGCAGGGTGGGCTGTACCCTGACCTGGCCTCACCCACCACCTCCTGCGGCCACGCAGTGCCATGTCCTTCTGTCACCACTGTGGCTTCTAGCACTGGCTCAGAGAAAAAAAACGATTTGGAAACAAATTCAGGAGGCCACACTCACCCCAGGTGAGGTCCCAGCCACATGATGTGGTGTGCTGGCCCCCAGGGAGTCCAGCATGGGGACAAGCTCTAGGTGGTGGCCAAAACTACCTCCCTTATGTCACGTTTCACTTCTCAGAAACAAGGGGACAAAGCTGGGTGTGGTGGTACACACCCATAATCCAAGCACTGGGAAGCTGAGGCAGGAGGATCACCTTGAGTTCTGAGCCCACCTGGGCTATAGAGACCCTGTCTCAAAAACCAAACAAGAAGCACAGGAGGCAGCTTCCTCTGCCTTCATAGCTGCAGTGGGTTGAAAAAGCAGGCCTGCCCTGCCCAGACCCTTCCTGCTTTGAAGTGCCTGCTGCTAATTGCGATAAAGCCCAGCATAGGTTTGAAAAAGAAAAAATAAAATAAAAATAAACTAAAACAAACCCTGGTGGTCATCAAGTTTCCTTCAGGGCTTACAAGTTTGCAGATGGAGGCTGGTTCTAGTTGGAGGTGGTCACTCCTGGGCTTGGCATTCAAAGCTCCGTACAAGCTGGCCCTGGACCTCCTCTCAGGACTACTAACCTGGCAACACATAATAAGAGCAACAGCCATTTCTGGAGCTGCCTCCAGAAAGGTTACAGTTGGCAAAGAATGTGCTCTGCTCAGCCTAAAACCCCAGACCTGCCACAGATTAGATTGCTGTGTGACCTTGGGAAAGGTCCTTTGCCTCAGTGTTCTCATCTGTGAAATGGGTACATCCAGAGTATGTGCGGTCACTGCTATGAAGACACAAGGACTCATGTGTTGCTTGTTAGCTAATGACTTGTTTTAATGAGACAGGGTCTCATTATGCAGTTCAGACTGGCCTCAAACTCACTAGATGGCCCAAGCTGGCCTTGGGCTTTCTGGTGACTCTCCTGCCTCAGCCTCCCGAGTGCTAGAATTGTAACTATGCACACCATACTGAGCTATGATCTGATTTGGAAACCTAACAGTTCCCTTAATTCCTTCCATGACAAGTGACAACTTGAGGCTCCAGTGGGACCATCTGCAAAGGAGCCCTGGGAATTCCAGTTACCTTCTAGCCTAGACCAGGGCCTGAACGCAGAGTGTGCCCGGGACAATCTGGGCTGCAGCCAGTGTCTGCCCGCAGGAAACAGAGCCGCTTGTCCTTAGCATTTCAAAACTTCCAAGTCTCCCCTGCCCTGGACTCACGGAGAAGCTGCTACGCAGCCAGTTTGTGAGGTCGCTGAGCACACAGCCTTGCAAAGCCCATGCCCAGGGCTGAGGGCAGGCCCAGGCCACAGCACCCGGAGGCCAGGCAGCAGAGGCTGGGTGTGTCCAGCGCTGTGACCAGGACTGGCTGGGCAGGCACCCTCATCCCTTTTTGTTTCTGGGGTGACCTGCATCATATTCAAAATGTCACCTGACACTGCCTAGAAGAAACAAGCGGAGCCAGCTGTATTTCTCTGCCCTCGAAGCTGAATATCCTAATCGGGTCAGTTGGTCTATTTATTTAGACAGGGTCTTACTTTGTGGTTCAGGCTGGCCTTAATATGACATAGGCTAGACTGGTCTCAAACTCATAATGATCCTCCTGCCTCAGCCTCCTGAGTGCTGGAATGCCAGGTGTGTGCCGCCACACAGGACTGGTATAGGTGTCTGCAAAGGTGCAGGGTGTGTACACTGCCCTCCTCGCCCCAGGTGGAGCTGCCTCTGGGCTGAGCTGGGAGCATACAGGGGCCAGAGCCCTGTTGGGAGACCTACCAGGCCCTGCTTCCCGCATCCTCCGAGCCACCTCCTACACCTTTCTGGGCCGGGTTTCTCTTTGGCAAAATTAGGTTGGCTCCAGAACCTCTTTCGGGTTCTAACATGGAAGAGGGCAGGCTTGACCAGTGTCCCTGGGACGCCTGCCTGGGTATGAGGCAGCTGTACCAGACCAGGTGACCCTTCCTGTGCCTCCTCAGCCCAAGTCCTCAGCTTGGCAGCCCTGGTACCAGCATCTCAAAGCCAGGACGAACCAGCGCCCGGCCCCAGCCACACCGTCTGCTCCTGTTGTTTCCCCAGCCCCAGGCTCCTGCATTGGCCTGGCCCTGCCTGGAGCTGACCTATGCCCGTGGCAGTCCTGGAGGTATCCCTGAGTATGCAGAGAAAGCACCCCAGGCCAGAAAGCTCTGAAAGGTGCCAGGTCTGGGGAGGAGGGGCCCTGCTGGGCGGAGGGGCCCCAGGCGGTGCCACACCCGGGCAGAGCTGCTGCCCCTGCTGCATAACAAATGACGGCACCAAGGAACACAGAAGGACACTCGGGTGAGGACAGAGGGAGGGCCAGGAACACAGGCCAGCTTCTCTGGGTGTGGCTTCTTTCGGTGACAGCTGACATTTGGAATGTGGCTGGACAGAGGGTGGGTGGAGCACGGGGCTGACCCAAGGCAAGCAACCCAGATGCCAGCTGATAAGTTCTGGCCCTGGTATAAATTGCTGAATTATTATGGTGGTCATCCAATATGGCTGAAGCCCTTAAAACAGCAGCTCATCTTCCCAGAGACCACCTCCCCGCTTCTTCTCCAACTCAGCCCAGGCTGCAATTTTCTTTCATGTTTCCCGCCACCTCAGGGAAGCCCCAGCCAGCTCCTCAGGTCTATCTAAACCTCCCCCTCAACCCCCCCCATGGCAAAAGGCCATAAAAGCCTCAGCCTCCCTTTGTTCCAATCCAGAGAATTCCTTATCTTCCCAAGTTCTCTCTGTGTCCTTCAAGATAAAAGAGCCCCTTTCCTTCTACCTGTTTGTTGAAAACCTATCACGGGCCACCAGGCCTGAAGCCCAAGGCCACCAGCTCAGCCAGAAGAGGGGCCTGACAGCCAGGTATGGTGGTACACGCCTCTAACCCCAGCATTCGGGAGCCTGAGGCAGGACTATCTCCATGAGTTTAATGCCAGCTTGGGCTACACAGAGAGCCCTGTCTCAAAATCAAAAACAGAAAAAACAGGAACCTGGGCTGGTAGAAAACCAGTTCATTGGCCCCAAGGGCTTTGGGCTTGAGTAGCCCTGAGGAAGGAGAGCTGAGAGAGGGGCGGTAGGGGAAAGGGGCAAGAGCTTGGCAAGGTCTCCCCATCATGAAATGGGGCAATGGGGGTACAACCAGCCCCTCTGGAGCTGGCTCTCCTCATTTTTTTTTTTTCTTTTTGAGACAGGGTCTCACTATGCAATTCAGGCAGGGCTTGAGCTCACTTTGTAGCCCAGGCTGGTCTCAACTCACAATAATGCTTCTGCCTTAGTCCCCAGAGTGCTGGGATTACAGGCATGGGCCACCACACCTAGCTGTAAATGAGCTATGGTTCGTACCTCAAGGGAGGCATCAGGAGGGCTACAAGGGGGATTGCATGTAAAACTCGATGCTTTGTAAGTAGAAGCCAGTGTCACCCCAAGGGTGCTGAGGAAGAGCTATTATGGCTACCATGCAGGCCTGTCACCCAGCTCTGGACACCCCAATAAATACTTGCTGACTTGGCCACAGGAGCTGGTGGGGACCCCCAGCCACCCTGTCTCTCCTGCTCAGACCACGAAGTGGAGGGCATAGGTGAGCTGGTGGCCATTGTCCCAGGCGTACAACACGCGCTCCCGGGGGTTGTAGTCGACCTGGGTGGTGTAGGCATGCTCATTGCGGAAGGGCAGCTGGGGCCGTGCGTCGGTGCCTGTGTGAGTGTCAAAGGCATAGGCAACCTGGCCCTCGTGCTGGTTGTAGGTGTCCACGGCGTACAGGATGCCACACACCAGGAAGCAGTTCCCATAGGAGCTCCTCCGCAGCCGTGTCTTCCACGTTGTCTCCCGGTGCACAGAGAGGTCGCTGGGATCCAGGCGGCTCAGCACGATCACCTCGGACTGGGCCTCATCGAGTTCGTCCACAACGGGGTAGATGACCCACAGGCCACTCTCGTCCACAGCAAAGTCGATGTCCGAGTGGCCGCGCCACTTCCAGGGGGTGGTGTCCTCATATACCACGTCAGGCAGCAGGGCCCAGGAAGCTACAAAGCGCTGGCGCAGGTCATACTTGATGATGTTCTTGGTGAAGGCCCGGTTGTAGTAGAAGGCACCCTGGTACACCACGTGGCCAGTGCCGATCCAGTTGTAAGGCAGCTTGTACATGTTACTCCAGCGGCCTGCGGGCGAGGGCAGAGGTTATCTGAGACCCAGGAGACCTCCAAGAGGGTCTCTTTATTCAACTTCCATACAAAGGAGAGCCTAATGCCGCCCTACATGCCTGTTGCTGGGATTAAGACGCAGGGTGAAGCCAGCCCTGTGTCATCCCAGGGTCTTTGCACATGCTGAGCCTCCTGCCCTGCTGGGACAGCCTTCCCCCCAAGCCAGGCTTCCTCCTGTGCCTCCACCCCGAAGTCCCCCGTATCCCACAGTGCTCTGAGCTGTGCCCCTGATGACGGGCCCCAACTGCCTCTCTATGCCTTTGCCTCTGTGCTACACTGTGGCTTTCTGCAGGGTGGCTACAGTCCCACCTGCCACCCCAGATCTGAGAACTCTAATTCTGCCCTTCCCTCTGCTAACAGTGGTGGCACCCTGGTCCCTACCTGGGCTTGCAGCTCCTCTAAGGCCCAGGGCTGCTGGGCTATAAACAGGGAACAACCCCACCTCCTGGTGACTGGTAGGTGCCACGGGATAACTGCACACAGCAAGCACTCAGCAAGTGGAAACTCAGCAGTGTCCCCAGGCAGCAGTAACACTTGGGGCAGTGCCATCTGTCCTCAGGTGTGGCACCAGCACCCAAGCGGGGCCACGGGGTCTGTTGCTCCCCTGCCTGGTCCCCCCAGCCCTCTTCTCTGGCACAGTTGGGCTGCACCCAAGAAACTACTGGGCAAAGGAAGGTAGAGTCTCAGGACCCCAGGCCACCTGTACCCATCCCTCCCATTCATCCGGGATGCTGACCTTGCTTGAAGTTTTCCAGATTGCGGAACTCTACCAGGCTGTTTCCATAGTAGTAGTTGGTGACATAGATCCTGTCGTCCTGAGATGCAGGGTCCTTCATCCAAGCCCCCTCGTGGCGCCCATAGCTGTGGTGCCTCACTGGGGGGTCCACGGCCCGGAGGGTGCCCTCGCAGCCAGCCTCCTTGCCTGGGAGCCAGGGGTACAGCATTTGGTACACAGACCCATAGCCCCAAGCCCAGGCAACGGTCCTGGACACACGCTCTGGGTTTACCCACAGTCCCCCGATGTTTCCCCCACCTTTCTCTAGGATCAGTTTTCATAATGCCTGATTGTTGTTGGAAATGAAGGAGGATGGAGAAGATAAATCAAAATTTAACCTGGGCATTGTGGCACATGCCTGACATTCTGGCACTCAAGAGACTGAGGTAGGAGAGTCACCACAAGTTCAGGACCAGCCTGGGTTACACAGTGTGTTCAAAGCCAGCCTGAACTGCATGGTGAGAGCCTGTCTCAAAAGAATAAAAAACAAAAACAAAACAATAAAAATATACAATTCAAAATTCCATCATCCATTATATGTGGAATCTAAAAAATTCAGTCTCACAGTAGTAGAGTAGAATAGGAGACTGGAAAAGTTGTGTTCCAATATTTAAACTTTCACTTAGTTTAATATATTGTAGCCCATTTTGAAACTACTTTATTGTTGCTGTTATTTTTTCCCTTAAAAATATATATTTAGTGTACCTGATAAAATATATCTATAACTACATGCTGTGCCAGGCCTACCCCCAGGTGCGCTGAGCCAGCCACTGAGACTGGGTGTGGTGGCACAGGCCTGGAATCCCAGTGCTGGGGAGGCACCAGGGGGCGCGGCTGGCATGTGGTGCTGGGGGATTGAACCACGGTCCCTGTGCTTTGCTAAGCTTGTTCTAAGTAGGTGCTTTAGACCACTGAGCCATCTCACCAGCCCAATAAAAACTGTTTAAAAAAAAAAATCCTAAAAAGAATTTCATTATCAAAAGGAAAAAATGGGGCCAGGGAGATGGCTCAGTGGAATAAGCACTTCCCTGGCAAGTGTAAAGGCCTGAGTTCAATCCCCAGTTCTGCAAAAAAAAAAAAAAGAAAAGAAAAAGAAAAAATGTCTTCTTTGGTCTCACTACATAGTCCAGGCTGGCCTTGAACTCACCATGTAGTCCAGCCTGACCTCTCGCTCTCAGCAGTCCTCCTGCCTCAGCCTCCAGAGTGGTGGGATTATAGGTGTGCACCACCATGCTTGGCTTCCGAAGAGAATCCTTTTTTTTTTTTCTCTGCATTTCAGGGAAGGGTCTACGGGGTGTTCAGGGTCTCCCTACTAGATTGGACTCATAGTGATCCCCATTTACGTCCTCCCAAGAGCTGGGATGACAGGAGCGCCGCCACGCCCAGTCCCCGAAGAAAATGATAAACATGCTGCGTTTCCCTCCTTTTCTTTTTTCTTTGTACACATCATCATGTAGGCACTCTGAGAAACTGTTCTGAAGACACAGTTTTATAGACTCTGTTGTTTCTTTCCACTGAACAATTTTTCACATCATTAAGTAGTCTTTTAATGATGTGATTTCAGGGTCCTGCCAGGCCACCAGACAGCTGCGCCTCTTAATTTGTTTCACATCATCTCCTTCGGTTACTTCCAGGTTTCTGACATCACCAGTGGTGCGAGAGGCAGCTGCTGCCCAGGCCAAGAGCGAGTCCTTTCAGACAGATGTGCATGCGCCCAATGCACGCGCCGAGCAGGGATGTACGCAGGCTTTCTCCTCACAGCAAACTTGAGCGCAAGGACAGGATCGATGATGGACTGAGAAAAGCTTTCACCATGCGACATAAGTCAAAACTATAAACGTGCTCATACAAAGACCAAAGAGTGTGCCGTGTGGCCACGTTTGTAATCCTAGCACTTGGGAGGCCTAGGCAGGAAGATTGAGAGTTCAGGGCCAGCCGGGCTGGGGCTGCAGCTCAGTGGCAAGGCCACACGGCACACTTTGGTACAGGGTCTCACTATGTAGATGTAGATGTAGCTCGGAGTCGCAGTGATCCTCCTGTTTTCAGCCTCCCCAGCACTGGAATTACAGGCGTGCACCACCACACCCGGACTCAGTCGCTGGCTTAC